TCCTTCAAAAGTAGGTTAATATCTAAGTTATTCAAGAACGAATATCACGTGAAAGAAACCAATTAAATTAATATAAAAAGTAGGCCATTAGTCCAGTAGAATGTGTTATAACACATTGAATAGAGCACTAATCCACTGTTTATATGTCTGATCAGGAATGTGAACAGACCATGAACATATATGTGTGTTTTTATCAATAGAAAGCCAATACGTAACGTATTATACTATATTTAATACAACGTGGATTTAGCCATGACAAACACTTTATTATATCCGACCAATGCAAATCACGCATCGTCCTTGAGGAAGTCGAGATACAAGTGCTTGCTTTCACAATTATCGGGTATTTGGGATGAAAGGGGGTTCTACATTAATTGGATAGTGGAACAGACAAGGTTTGTGTTGAATGCCCAGTAAAACCCCATTTATCTCTCCTCTATCGGTAGCCTCACCCAGAATATTTTGAAAATGACACCGACGTGGATGTTATTTAGAGCACTTTCTAGTCGGTTGTGGTACAAATTACGCCGACGTGAATGTCATTTAGAGCACTTTCCAGTCGGTTGAGGTACAAATTTGGAAAAATTGTTTTATACCGTTTCTGTACCAATGGACTAATTGCGACGGGCGTACACCATATTGCATGGGAGAAATTTTGCCCAGGCCACAGCGTTTCCGCCATACTCTTCTTCGAGATTTCGGTTCGCAGAAACAGTTGCTCGGAATTTCCGGTTTCGTCTAGCCTTGGAAGTGGTCCAGGACAGAGGGCCTAGCACGGACCAACAACTATTGGTTCAGATTGTTGGAATTCGCAATTAAGAATATGCCGATGTTGGAGGATAGTATCCCTTATGGCACACTGCATGGCGTATCCTGTCATCATTTCCCGGTCGGACGTTAAACCGCCATGTTGAGTTTACCTAAAGGATCTGACATTAGGGCCGTAACTAGCTCAGAGCAATGACGGGGCGGGGAGTGTTCTTAGGGGTGCTGTAAAATTGACGGACGCAATATATATCTATTGTTTTTATGGTCGACAATTTTTTCACAGGGGTGGGGGTGGGCGAATCTTTTTGAAGTGCCCCCCCCCCTTAGTTACGGGCCATTCTGACATTGTGGCAAAATTGTATGTATAGATAAAACTCACGCGATAACAGTATATGGAAACTCATTCAAAGCATACCGTTTATTAGCAATAAGCATTTTCCACAAAGAGAGTAGCTTCGATAGAATTCGAATTGCATAACATTTAAAGAAAGTTTCTGGGTTTGCGAAATTGTTGATAGCTACCTATAGGGGAAAATATCGCTCAAAATCAATAATTCTGCATAAGAAGGGGGGCGCCCATGGTCCTACTTGACAGGGCCGGAATATGTACGGTAATGAGGAGGGCATTTGTCGACCAATGCAAATCGCACATCGTTACTGTAACTTCCTGTTTGTGGTTTGTGTTCCCGTCAATAACCCATATACAAAAGCATCTCCATAAATAAAATAACGTATTATGTGAAAGATAAATCAGCATATTGCAATTCTTTTGTGTGGCTTCAAATAAAATAAAACCAAGTTCGAACAATCCAAACCATTAGACAAGATTTGAAGTCCTACAAAAACAGTATAGGCAAATTATTGAAATCAGCAAATGGACTGTTCACAACTTATTGTTAGGATATTCATGCACATGACAATTATTTAATAAACATGAAATGAAATGGGATTTAACGTCCTACTGTTCTGCTACGAACTGGGCTAATGAGGACGCGCAAACTTCAAATATTAACAACCTTGCTCAGATTAAAATAATTAGGGTTTCACACTGCGTTTTTGTTAAGTTTATTCTTCTTCTTCTTATTATTTTTTTCCACTTGAGGATATCTCAAACTACTTGTCGGATCGACTCGATGTCTTCTGTTTTATAGGGAAAGTGGCTGTGACGTAGAAATTAAAGCTAGTTCGAACTTTCTGCGACAATGCGAAATGTCCGAAATCACCGAAGTTGTCGTTTTTTGAAATATTGCCGTAGTAATATTAACAAAACATTTCGGATTTTGACATTTGATACATTTTGACATAGCCTGAGACAAGGCACAGAGCTATGGTTCTTCGGATTCTTGATTTTAGACGAATCTTCGCAGATATTTTGAAAATTTAAATTTTTACAAAAAACTGTTTTATTTATGAATATTTTTTTATGGCGTTTTACCCAAAATTAAAGGGTCATGTGATTTGAGCAAAATATGAACAATTTCTGTCTCGATAATTTACCTAGGTCGCTATTGGCTAGTTCAGTTTAAGGATTCTAGGTTAATTATTTTGCATGTAAAAGAGTCAATTATTATTGGATTTTGACAAAAGTGACACCATTTGATACGTAATGTCACTTTTGACTAGATCAAACAAATTTTAAAATTTTACTATCACCGGAAACGGCGTCATTTTGACAAAAACTGTATTTATAGCCCTAAAAACATATTTTATTCAAATGAGTCGTATGTGTTATTTTTTTAAAATGATGATATTTGATTCAATCAACAAATAGAATGAACCATTACCAGCATTTAGATGTCAAAAAATGGTTTCTAACTTGTTCAGTTGCGGAGAAATAGGCGATTTTCAATAGGTCACTTTTCAAGGTTTTTGGTCCATAAAAGTGTTAATTATTATTCGATTTTCGTAAAATATTTACCATGTGATACCTAATGGCATTTACGATTTCATACGAGTAATGTCAGATTTTCATTATCACCCGAAGTAATTTTATTTTGGGAAAACCTGTATTTTTAGCCTCTAAAACAAATATTTGTTTGAAGTAAGTGATATTCATTATACGTATAAAATTATGATATTTGAGTCCAATGGACAAATAGTATGAATTAATGCGATCATATGGATATCAAAAAAGTGTTTCTAACATCTTCCCTTGCCGACAAATAACGAATTTTGTCAGGATCACTTTTTAAGATTTTTCGCATTTTAATTTCAGTTTATTGGTTCTAGGTTAATTATTTATTGCTCGATTTGTATAAAAGAAAAGCTCATATGCCCCGTTGTTCAAATTTTCAACTTCTTGTATACCGATAAAATTTTGTGTCGGCACCGGAAGTGAAGAAATTTTGCCCAAAACTTCAATTGTGACAGTCGAAAGTTCTTTTCAAATGCAAATATTAATGTTTACAAATCTTATAGATCACGATAAATGCTCCTACTAAAGACGCAAAATATGCCGTGCTTATTTTTTAAAATTTCGGTTTTGTATTTGTGCCATTTTGATTTACAGGTGAAAAAAAGGTTAAAACGAGCTATTGACAATATATTCAGGCTTTTCATATTTTAAAATATTTCTTGACAACTCTCATAACCCTGTAGCTATATCCATACGAAGAGAATTTATGTGAAAATCAGTTTGTAATATGAGCAGTTGGCGAGAAATAGGCAATTTCGCATTTGTCACTTTTCACGTTATTTTGCCTGTAAAAGAGTCATATTATTCAATTTTCAATTTGTTTTTACCATTAATTGATGCCTAATGCCAATTTGGACTAGGTCAAACTAATTTATCGTTTTCATTGTCGCCGAAAATGGTGTTATTTGGGCAAAAACTGTATTTTGGCCTTCAAATGAAATGGGGTTTAACGTCCTACTGTGCTGCTCCTAATCTTGGCTAATGAAGACAGCATTTTAGCCTTCAAAACAGATATTATTATTTTATTCAAATGGGTCTGATTTGTAATGTTTTTTTAAAGTTATGATATTTGATTCCAATCGACAAATACAATGAAACCATACAAACATACAGATGCCACAAACTGGTTTCTAACTTGTACGGTTTTTTTTAAGTGAGTTATATTTTTTATTCATTTAACATTATTTATTTGATTCCAATGGACATATAGACTGGATCAATACGATCATATAGATGTCCAAAAAATTGCTTCTTCCCTTCTTGAGAAATAACCAATTTTGTCAAAATCACATTTTAAGATTTTTTTCGCATTTTAATTTCCCATTAGAAAGACATAAGTTAATAACAATTTTTTTTTCAGGATCACTTTTTTGACGTATATAACACATGGTAAAAAATGTATAAATGGAACTGAAACTGCTGTATTTGGTTGATTTTGCGACCAATGTTTAACGGTTTCATTCGTACCGGAAGTGACATAAGCTCAAGGGTAACGTGGCACCGGTGAAACCCCTCATTACTGCATTGCAGTTCTAGTTTCATTTAAATTTTCAATATATCTTATTTTTTTGTATTATTTTTTTTTTAAACTATTATAGAAAGAATGGTTAGATACTTATCTTAAAGGGACAATGACACTCTTGCTGGCTTGAAAGCTCCAGAAAATAAATAATAGCCTTATTCTAAGTACTAGATGTTTAAGTGTCCTACCTGTTGTGTAGATTATCCATTTCATCCTATGTTACTTGTCCAGAGGGTTCGAAAATATTTTTAAATCGAAGTTTGATTTGAAAAGGTTTACGTTAGCCGTTTCAAACCGTTATGTTGAATTTTTCAAAAATTTTAAATAAGGTGTGTTAAGATAAAATTTGTATCATCAATTAATTGGAATATTGTAAATCGAAGTTTCATTTGAAAAGGTTTACGTTAGACGTTTCAAACCGTTATGTTGAATTTTTCAAAAATTTTAAATAAGGTGTGTTAAGATAAAATTTGTATCATCAATTAATTGGAATATTGTAAAATAGTACAATTTGTTGACCAGAATAAAGATTGGGACATATTATTCAGTTACAACAAGAGTGGTATTGAGCCTTTAAACAATTTATCTTTAATGATAAAACAATAAATACAATAAAAAAAAAATAATCGAATGACTTTTTGGATAAATGAACTATAAATATATGTTGTGTTATTTTCAAAGTTATACTTGATCGTTCGTGTGGAAGTCAATATTTTATTATGGAAACTTTTATGTGGAAAAAAACGACATCTGCCGACATATGAAATCTGTATAAAAGTAGATACATTCCCAATGTTCCACAATCGTCCTCCAATTGGTTGTACTCGTGCACGTATATTATACAACTAGAAGATACATCAAGATGCGGTTAATGTTGGTCGCAACTCTGTTGCTTGTTATTATAACGGTTGTTGATGCGGGTAGAAGACACAGGGCACGAAATAGAATCCGTCACAGATCTTATGGACGTCAAGCCTCTGTCTCGTCGTCACGGAAACAGATAAATTGCAACAAAATCCGGAGAAGGCAGGCCTGTAGCAAATGCTGTTCTGGTGAGCTCTTTTGTAATTTTTATTATTGATGCATCCGTGAACACTTTACCCCAGCTTACAGAATTTCACTTTCGTGTTAGAGATTTGTAGAATTTGTAAATATTTTAAAAAAATTAATTTTGATATAGAAATATTTGATAAATCAATAATTGAATTCTTATTTACATTTATTTATTTTGATCTTAAACTTAACGAACCGACCAAAAAATATATTTAACCATATGGAGCAGATTTACAGGGGACCTGTAGGCGATTTTTTTTCCTTTAATAATGAGTGGATTTTGATGAAACATTTTTTATGTTTCATCAGTAGACAAAACAATAATTAAAACAAGTGCCAAATTATATATTTGATTACCTGTTGACATGGTAACGAATTTCATATCTATTATTATTCTTATTGTACATTTTCATAGCGCCCTTTATATAGAACAGAAATTAGATATACAAATGACATAAATAAACTAAAATACAAATAAGATATATATGGAACAATTTAAATCAACTTAAACTCTCATAAATTTCATTAATGCATAACATATCATTACCGAGGAAAGGACGTTAGGAATATAGGCTTTGATTTAGCCCCGAAAATCGTTTCATCTCGTCCTAGCAAATTCCGGGTGAAAATCTGACGCTTTGTTACATAATTTAACCAGTACGTCTTGCACTAGAATTACGTCTCGAACTATATTTGTCAAGTGTAGCCATAATCGGGTGAACAAATCAAATTCTAAGCCAATCAGAAACCATAAAAGCAAAGATCGTCATAGGTCAAGGGTCAATAGCCATAAATAGACCAGCGAATACCTTTTATGAGACGGAACACGTTGGATTGTTTACATTTGTCTGAGAGAATTTCTCTGCAAATATGCCGGGATTACTGGATAATATCACCTGTTAAATGTTGCATTGACACGGTAAAGACGACTTACCCCTGATCTGTGGCATAAATATGGCCAATAATTAGGAAATAGCACCAATGATTGAATGAATCTTTTATTTTCTGGAATCAAGTGTTTCTTCAAAACTATTTCAGTGAAACAATATCCAAAAGAAATATATACTTAATACAGATGAAAACGATTTTGGCATGCTTGAAATACTGGTTCCGTCTTATAATTATATATAATGCTAAGAAAAAACAAAAATAATAATACCATGTGATCTGATCGATACAATTAATAATAATTCACCTTCATCAATTTTACTATTTTTTTTAAAACGAGAAAACAATAAACTTATTAATATTATAAGAGTATAGAGAGAGAGAAATGGGGTTTAACTTCCACTCGACACACACTAGGTAATTTTGGTTCAATTTTATTCCAATAATTCGCTTGCGTGTAGTGGTCTTTAGCAGTGGGAGGAAACCGGAGGACCCAGAGAAAACCCATGAGGTTGGACAGGCAACCCTTCTCCTTGTCAAGTACAACCGTGGAATCTAAACCACACCAGTGGACTCAATGACAGACATTATGATATGCTACCCATTCGGCTACCCAACCCCCTATAAGAGAGTATAAGATTACATTTATTTAAAGAAAGAAATTTAAAAAAATAAACAAATGCAATTATATAAATTTCCTCGTACACAACAATACCATACACCACTAGTATTAATGAAAAATGTATATAATAATAATAAGAACATCATCATTTTTTAAAGTGTATTAATACTGGAGAATGGTTTCTAATGTGCTGTTCAGGTTCTTATATTCACAGAATACATGTATTTACACAGAGATCAGGTCTTGTGCCCATATACACTGTACAAAATTGAAAGATATATACCAACCAGTAAATAAAAGTACATATAAGAGAAAAGCAAACAGTAATTACCTAAGTAAAATAGTTCTAGTAAAATGAATTAGAAATGAAATGGTCTAATGAAGATGGGCATATACGCCATACTCTTATATCAAATTACAACTGCCAAGGGATCTTTTTAAGTGCACAACAATGTATACACAGGACCTCGACTAGACTGCTGTCCTTGTGCCTTGTCAGCCCTCCGCCTGCACCACAGACAAGGGAAAACCGTCGGAAATGAATTAGAATAAAAAAAGTAAAATAAAAACATATAGTAAGCATAAAGTGACAAAATATAATATGAAAATTTATTGACATGTACAGTACATTCAAGTAAAACATATTTAAAATATTATGTATTATTAAAAAACCGCTTACAAAAATACATGTATACAGGTGTAGGCCTACTTACATAATTTCATCAATATCATCATCACTATTAAAATGTGAGCATATGTTTGGCTGTCACTTTTATATTCGAACAATATACACAAAACCATACAAGAAAGTTTTCACTTGTAACAAGTACATCTATTACTGATCTATCTGTAAATGTGTAATGCAGCTTTATTTACATTCACATTGAAAATTTTGTTTGGTGCTTGATCTCTAGTCACCCTAACCCTGTCAGTTGTTCAATAGAGTTTAACAAGAGGGGTTTAAATTTCCACAGCTACAGTCAGACAACCTTGGAGGAATGCGCCAGAATATGCCCCCTTTTTGACTGATGATGCAAAGGCAGAAATAATTCTTCATACATATTTTTTTCAAAAAAAGTAAGTGCACTTGTACCAAATCATCTATTTCGGTTCTAATTTTCTCCATAACATTGGGGTTGGATGGCCGAATTGTTAGCACGTGCGCACTGTATCATAAAGTCTGTCATTGAGTCAACAGGCGTGGTTTCGAATCCCCGGTTGTACGTGACAAGGAGTAGGGTTGCCTGTCCAACCTCGTGGGTTTTCTCTGGGTCCTCCCCTTTCCTCCCACTGTTAAATACCCCTACGCATAAGCGAATTATTGAAATAAAAAAATTAAACGATATGTTAGTCCCAAAATGACCTAGTTTGTGTCGAGTGGACGTTAAACCCCATTTCTCTCTCTCCATAACAACTTGTTGGGTATGAGTACTGCACATGGTCGGAACGGAGAAACAGAAGCAAGCTAGCTAGAAATTTCAGACCACGGCCTAATAGGTGCGTTTTCAAACTCTTCTTAACGTTGAACATGTTCTAATATATTGAGGTAAAATGTTCAAAAGAAGAATGGTTTGAACATAAAAATAGATTTTTATAGATTTTGCAATAAAATTATAAATTACATAATTGATGCCTACAGGTTTTTTTTTTATGTTACCCCCCCCCCCCCAAAAAAAAACCCCAAACAAAAACGGGAATTTTTTAAATCTGTAGAATTAATGTAGCAATCGGTTTAACGTCCACTCGACACAAACTAGGTCATTTCGGGAAAACATGGTTTAATTTTATTTACATAATTCGCTTGCGCATAGAGGACTTTAGCAGTGGGAGGAAACCGGAGGATCGAACAACAGTTTATGGCTAAGTTCATATTAATATCATTTAAATTGTAATTAAAGTGCTAATTGACCATTTCAAAGATTAATGACATTGAAATGTAATTAAAGTTTTTAATTGAAATTTTGTTTAAATCAATATCATTTCAATTGTAATTGACAGTTTTTCGAAACTAATATCGAAAGTGGTTAATTGCCATTCTTTTGAAAAATGTAATTGAATTGGTTAATTGACATTCTGTTAAGATTAATAATATTTGAAATGTAATTGAATTGGTTAATTGCCATTCTTTTAAAATAAAAACATATAGTAAGCATAAAGTGACAAAATATAATATGAAAATTTATTGACATGTACAGTACATTCAAGTAAAACATATTTAAAATATTATGTATTATTAAAAAACCGCTTACAAAAATACATGTATACAGGTGTAGGCCTACTTACATAATTTCATCAATATCATCATCACTATTAAAATGTGAGCATATGTTTGGCTGTCACTTTTATATTCGAACAATATACACAAAACCATACAAGAAAGTTTTCACTTGTAACAAGTACATCTATTACTGATCTATCTGTAAATGTGTAATGCAGCTTTATTTACATTCACATTGAAAATTTTGTTTGGTGCTTGATCTCTAGTCACCCTAACCCTGTCAGTTGTTCAATAGAGTTTAACAAGAGGGGTTTAAATTTCCACAGCTACAGTCAGACAACCTTGGAGGAATGCGCCAGAATATGCCCCCTTTTTGACTGATGATGCAAAGGCAGAAATAATTCTTCATACATATTTTTTTCAAAAAAAGTAAGTGCACTTGTACCAAATCATCTATTTCGGTTCTAATTTTCTCCATAACATTGGGGTTGGATGGCCGAATTGTTAGCACGTGCGCACTGTATCATAAAGTCTGTCATTGAGTCAACAGGCGTGGTTTCGAATCCCCGGTTGTACGTGACAAGGAGTAGGGTTGCCTGTCCAACCTCGTGGGTTTTCTCTGGGTCCTCCCCTTTCCTCCCACTGTTAAATACCCCTACGCATAAGCGAATTATTGAAATAAAAAAATTAAACGATATGTTAGTCCCAAAATGACCTAGTTTGTGTCGAGTGGACGTTAAACCCCATTTCTCTCTCTCCATAACAACTTGTTGGGTATGAGTACTGCACATGGTCGGAACGGAGAAACAGAAGCAAGCTAGCTAGAAATTTCAGACCACGGCCTAATAGGTGCGTTTTCAAACTCTTCTTAACGTTGAACATGTTCTAATATATTGAGGTAAAATGTTCAAAAGAAGAATGGTTTGAACATAAAAATAGATTTTTATAGATTTTGCAATAAAATTATAAATTACATAATTGATGCCTACAGGTTTTTTTTTTATGTTACCCCCCCCCCCCCCAAAAAAAAAAACCCAAACAAAAACGGGAATTTTTTAAATCTGTAGAATTAATGTAGCAATCGGTTTAACGTCCACTCGACACAAACTAGGTCATTTCGGGAAAACATGGTTTAATTTTATTTACATAATTCGCTTGCGCATAGAGGACTTTAGCAGTGGGAGGAAACCGGAGGATCGAACAACAGTTTATGGCTAAGTTCATATTAATATCATTTAAATTGTAATTAAAGTGCTAATTGACCATTTCAAAGATTAATGACATTGAAATGTAATTAAAGTTTTTAATTGAAATTTTGTTTAAATCAATATCATTTCAATTGTAATTGACAGTTTTTCGAAACTAATATCGAAAGTGGTTAATTGCCATTCTTTTGAAAAATGTAATTGAATTGGTTAATTGACATTCTGTTAAGATTAATAATATTTGAAATGTAATTGAATTGGTTAATTGCCATTCTTTTAAAATTAATAATATTTGAAATGTATTTAAAGTGGTTAATTGACATTTATTTATTTTTTTAAAAAATAATACCATTTGAAATTTCAATTAATTTAAATAATTGACAGGTTTCAATTACCCGTGAAAGGTTAAAGATTAAAATGCATTGATGGAATTATTTATTTATTTTTCGAATTTAGGTCGGCCAAACAGATTTTGTCTGCTACGGAAGTTGCGCTAATTTAAGAATTTTGGAACGTATCTTCGGAGGGAAAATACCAGTTTGATGAATATCCATACTAAAGACGCAGACAATGGTTTATGTTTATCTAAATTAGTTTATAACTTAAACTGTTGCCGAGAAACAGAGAGAAGCTTCACTCGAAGTAAACTAGATCGTTTCGGGAATTACACATGGTCCAATTCTATTTCAATAATTCGCATGCGCGTAGGAGTCTGTAGCAGTGGAAGGGAACCACAGGATCCAGAGAAAACCAACGATATTTAACGATTGGTTTTATAATAGTAGCATGGTGTATTAAGATTCCTGTGATCATAATTCTGGACAGGGGAAAACAACGTTCGGATGCAACGAAAAACACATAGGCGTACATGCAAGAATTCCTGTGGCAGTTAAAATTCGATTTACGAGGTGATTGTAGCGCCGATGTCCGTTAAAAATTCGCTCATAATTAGGATATCATAAGTGATATTTGGCCAGAAATCATTTGTATTATGTTTTTGCTGATATTTAACACTTTAATAAAATAAATCATTATGATTGTTATTTAAACATACATCTCCTATTGATCGGCTAGTTATTCCCAATAAAAGTATAGCGATTTTGGTATATTATATTAAAAGTAAAAAATGCAATCTTACTTTAATAATTTCCAATAAAAACATGGCGATTTTGATATAGAAAGTAAAACATGCAATCTGACTAAAAACAATTCTGGATTCCCAAGGGTGCACACACGACAAACATGTGAGGCCATCCCTAAAAGAGAGCCTGTTTCCGCGAGTGAGTCAAGGAGCGCTGTTAGAAATAAATGTCCAGTAGGCTCTGTGAATAAAAGGTAGAGGATAATTCAGGAATTTACTTAAGACTTCGATTTCGATAGAGTACTGTATTAATTAAAATGTAGTTTTTAAAGTTATAATATTTCTGCTTTCTATAATCTTGTAAATAGATTATGTGGATATAATTACAGTATATAAACTATGGATAATCGAATCTAGTGAATAGATTATGTTGATACAATTACAGTATACAAACTATAGATAATCGAATCTCTTAAATACCAATCGCACACCATTTTAATTAATACAGTTTCCATCTCCTGTTTTTCAGATTTTAGTCTATTTTGAATAAATCGAAATAAATTATTTTTATACGCCCACATTCTCGGACGTCCGTTCACATTTGTTGGGGGGGGGGGGGGCACTCTACAGGTCACAACTGTTATCCGATTTCGACGAAATTTGAAATATAGGATTTATATCTCAACGATCTCGGTTCCGTTCGATAATGTCATGTAGTGGAGAATAACTTCTTATCTTATCGCCCGATTGTACGATCGCTTTTGGGGATCACGTGGCTAAGTGGGTAAGACGCTGGCTCGCTAGCCTGGAGGTCGGGTGTTCGATCCCTGCATTGGCCGAGAAATAAGATAAGACGAAAAACCGAGGTCCCGTGTATACATTGGAATGCACGTAAAAGATCCCCTGGCAGTTGGAATTCGATATAAGAGTAGGCGATAGTGCCGCTGCCCGGGCAACATTTCCCTCATAGCACACTGTATGGCGTATGTCCGTCTTCATTAGCCCAGTATAGGAGCAGAACCAGAACAATAGGACGTTAAACCCCATTTCATTCATTTCATTACGATCGCTTTGTTTATTTTGTGTCCCCTCTGGAGGTCGCAATTTCTATCAATTTATAAATCTTTTTTTAAAAAAATAAAACGGTTACACTCTCATTTACGTCCGAGTTTGAATTTCGTGAAAATTGGTCCAGAACTGACCGACAAAATTATTTACAAAATTAGACCTATTTGAATAAAAAGGTGTTTTAGTATCCCTAACACTATTTATAGCATGTTCTTTAAATGGCATTTAGTAACTGGATAGAGTAACAACAAAACACATACTTATGGAAAACAGCTACTAGTGTATTTAAGGCGACGTTTCGTAGAGTATTGATAACGTTGAGAGAATACTCTACGAAAAGTCGCCTTAAATACACTAGTAGCTGTTTTCCATAAGTATGTGTTTTGTTGTTACTATTTATGGCAGTTGGTAAACTCAGCAGTGACCTACACTCATTAGTTCGATGTCCGTAATTATAACATTTTTGGAATTTTTTCATTGGCCTAAGATGACCAACTTCTATTAGATCATGTTTATGTGTAAAACTTGGTGTATATAATGTTGATTTTTACGGTAACACAAATCGTTCTTACATATTGTGTTCTGAAATGGCTGAAACTGTCGCTTTTTATAAATTTTCGGATTGTCGCAATTAAATTTCATTTGTAAACGATCATCTAACAAACCCGTAATGAAATATCCTACTAATTGCTACTGGAGTGGGTTTGAAACAATTTCGGTAGAATTATATTCTTTTTTAGCCAAAGAAAGTAAACGTTCAACATATACTTGAACATTTTCAGAAAGAAATTGTTTAGTTTATTGTAATATAACTAAATATAACTCTTTTCCAAGTTTGACTTACTGCCAGTTAACTCCTGGTTATATAGTGTTCACCACAAGGACAAAATGGATACGAACCGCTTATAAGGAAATTGAGTCATTGTCTACCACGTCATTTAGCTGATCCTAGCTGACTGTAGCTTGTCAATGACACGTGGGATTAATTACGTCTGTAATTCCAACACAGCGAATACATTCTTAGTAGAGTTGAAAACATAATATCTTATATTATCAAAACCAGCTGGAGATCAACGCATCTAAATAATCGTCCGTATTTTATAATATAGTAAATTGGATTAAAGTTATGGAACACATTGTCACAAATGGCTGCTCCTCGTTCGCAAATAGTGTAGACGCATGTAATACCAAGGTTGTGCACCATTTATGAGCCAAAATTGTTATCCGAATTTGATGACACTTGAACCCCCAGTTCTCGGCTACTGTCGATCTTTGCGCATATTGAATTTTAACTTCCTGGATTATGGAATCTAATTGCAAGGAACATCGTGTTTTTAGCCTCTGTGGCCTCTCTAGAAACCACAATTGTTATCCGATGTTGATATGCATGTCTATATCCCGAAGATCTTTGTTGCTTTTGATACTGTCGCATATCGTAACATCCTGGATTATGGCCCCTGATTGAACGAAAAATCGTTTTTTAGCTTGTTCTCGGACAACCACTTTTGGACTTAATTATTATTCGCTGCTTTGTCTTGGAAAATTGATAAAATGTTGCATAATATTGCATTGACTAAAAATGCCAATACATGTATTATCCTTACTTTAAAAGTGTTAATATAGTCGTGACTGTAACTGCCAATACTATCCGTACTTTTTTTAAATCTTGAAAATAAAATGGATTTGTGGCTCGAAATATACATGTTAAACCTGGTGTAATATCTTTATATAAAAAACAATTCAATAATACGAGTTAATGGCTTAAAATAGAACTACAGTTTTTAGAAACATTTGTTTTGTAAATTTTACATAGATTAATATTTTTTTTTTGACAGTTTGCCAATAACTGAGTTTTAAGAAATTCGACTTGTTTTGTATACATTTTTGTTTTCGTGTTTGATGTAAGAGCAAATGGTTTGAGGAACAATTTCAATCAAACTTACTGAAATAACTTTTCGGTGCCTTTCTAGTTTGGCGTAGAATTTAGCGACTACAAACATAACCAAATATGTTTGAACTGATCCGCCATTACTGAAATAACTTTTCGGTACCTTTGTAGTTTGGGCGTAGAAATGAGCGATCAAAAACATAGCCAAATATGTTAGAACTAATCCGCCATTACAAGACCGAACATGATATTTTCAGTTAGTGATAACTTGGGGTAACAAGAAGAATGGACTATTGATATTTTCAGTCACTTAAACATGAATTAAGCAAGAGCTAAATCTGCCGATTGCAGGTCTTTCTTTAGGCCCGAAATCTTATCTAAATTATTAATTAGACATTAATTAACTTATCCAGACCATAATCAACTCTCGATGTCAAGGCTAGCCTTCGATATCGACTGGATTAGAATCCTATATGCTGCAAACGCTCATTGATAATTAAATCAAAACAATGGATAATCGAGACTTTGCTTTTTAACGTACTAACTTTAGTAATGATGAACGAGGCTAGGCGGAAATTTACAAAACTGATATCTCGGTTCATAGTGGACCAATTTGACTGAAATTTTCAACAAATTACCTTTACATTATCTAGTTTTTAACTATTAGAGCGAGAACTTTCAGCTCTTTATCTAATCTCCCATAATGTATCTTCACTTAATGAAGTGTATTTTCTCAATTAGATGACAATTTGTGATGATCTGACAAGACAAATGTAAATAAATAGAGAAAGCCACAATATAAAATGTAATTGATATTTTTAGTCAATCATAACGTGGGATTCTACTGTGTTAATGAAGTGTGATGATATGAAAACAAATTGTTGTTTTTTTCAGTTGATGGTAATTGGGGCCAATGGTCTGAGTTTAATCCCTGCTCTGTAACATGTGGTGAGGGAACACAGAGCAGATCTAGATCTTGTGATAATCCTCCTCCAGCTTATGATGGAGCTGATTGTAATGGTGATGGTACTGAAACAAGAAGCTGTAACACGATTGAATGTCTTGGTGAGATGTTTTAAAATCCCGTTTCCATACATAAATTCACAAAGATGCGACCCGGCATTTAGACACAAACAAATGTAGATCAATTGACAATCGCACACTATAACACATAGTTATTTTTCAGTTGACGGTAATTGGGGAGCATGGTCTGAGTTTAGTGCGTGTTGTCCTGTATGTGGTGTTGTTGAACAGACGAGGAGTAGAGTATGTGACAACCCTGCTCCGGGGCCTGGTGGAGCTGACTGCCCTGGTGATTCTGAGGAAACAAGGACTTGTGACAGTAATGATTGCTTGGATAATGGTAATGCTGTTTAGAATATGGTATCGCCCGAAATGGGGTAGCTATGATAATAGGTCCCTTTTAGGGGACATTTATTATAGTATGTTACACTATTGGTTCCCCAGGTTCTTCTAGACACAACTCCTTGTTAGAAACGCTTATTCTTCAAGACATAACATACACAAGCTTCTTTGCTGTTTCCAGCACTACGCACAAATGTTATACTTTGAGGTTTCCAGCACTACGCACAAATGTTATACTTTGAGGTTTCCCGCTCTACGCACAAATGTTATACTTTGAGGTTTCCAAAACTACGCACAAATGTTATACTTTAAGGTTTCCAGCACTACGCACAAATGTTACACTTTGAGGTTTCCAGCACTACGCACACATGTTATACTTTAAGGTTTTCAGCACTACGCACAAATGTTATACTTTCCAGCACTATGCGCATGGTCATACTTTGAGTCCCCAGCACTACACCGTGGTCATACTTTGATCTCTCTCTCTCTCTCTCTCTCTCTCTCTCTCAATAACATGTAATTGATGTATATTGTAAATGTCGAAATGTTTTTGTAATTATAGCACCAATTTCTCTATGTGAAGGCCAGTCATTTGACGTCATAGTTCTTCTTGACGTTTCTGCTGGCTCTATAACGGATGAAGGGATCGCGCAGGCAAGGAATTTAATACAGGGGCTTTATACTGAATTGAGAATTGATGGCAATCTTAGGCGGTTCGGATTCATCGCTTATGCTGGTGCTATGGCTGATTTTAATCGCCTGGTGTTAGGAGCTGACGACACCGCAACACAGCAGTCTCGCATCGATGGTATTTCTGTAATAAATGGACCACCAAATCTTGAAACGGCAATAAGCGTATTAGTGAGTGATTTTACAAATCTTGGAAGAACAGGTATTCGACAAATTGGTATCGTGATAGGAGGTGAATATATGTTTTTTAATCTGATGAAGCACAATTTATGACATATTCTACGACACTTGGGTTTAACCAATCCCTTGTCGACTTAGGAACAAATAATTGTTATAAAGAAAATCCTCATTTTATATTCATAATGTTTATTAGTTCAATTGATAATAATCTGACAGTAGTCAGTAAGGTATAACAGTGACTATGGAATGATATACACCGCTATTGTAGGGGTTTGGGTAATCAATAGTGATGGGTGTTACAAGTAGTGGCCTCTTTTACAGCTAGTTACCCACGTGTTAATTATTGACAACTGTATAATTGCTAACCAATTTCTATACATACTAAACATTAGTTTAGAATAATGATCATTTTTCTATCAGTTAATGACAAAATTGGTCAATAGAATTACTATTAGCTTACCAGTGATATAGTCCAACTTATTTTTACTCGTTTATAATTGAAAATATAGCCATGGATATTATGCACGAAACAGATGCTTATCCTTTCATAAACACTGGCGGGGTTGGATGGTCGAATGGTTAGCAAGTGCGCGCTGTATCATAAGGTCTGTCATCGAGTCCACTGGCGTGGTTTCGATTCCTCAAGTGTACGTGACAAGGAGAAGAGTCGCCTGTCGAACCTCATGGCTTTTTTTCCGGGTCCCTCACACTGCCAAGACCCCTACATGCAAGCGAATTATTGAAATGAAATTGAACCATGTGTTGGTCCCGAAATGACCTGGTTTGTGTCGAGTGGGCGTTAATCCTCATTTCTCTTTCACTCTCATAAACACTGGGTACTACATTTGAAATAGTCTGACGTGGCAGTTGCAAATCTGGTAGTTGCAAATCTTTTAGGCGATAATTAACTTTCCGAATAGGTACGTACAAGTACTCTACTCAAATGCATTTGTTTGTCTTTGTAGCTTCCGATCCATTTACAATAGACGACGTAACCCGTTTCACCAACCCGGCGAAGGAGGCGAATATAGCTTTGTACGCTGTTGGTATTGTTGACCTAGTAAATGAGGAATATCTACAAGCAATTGCCACCAATGCATCAGGAGCCATTACCGCGACATCCGAACAACTGGAAGAAACAGCTACCCGATTAGAACAGCTGATCTGCTTATGTGATAAATAAAGGAATGGAATATATTTCCATTGTTAAATTATTAATAAATGTGTGGAGTTATTATTTTCTTCATCGGGGTGTGTATAGCGCATGTCTCTGTTCACCTGTGGAAAAATACGTCACAGGTCAAAGTCTTCAGGAGTCCGGATGAAGTAGACGAGTAGAGCGTTAAACCTCAATTTCATTGTATTTATGTGGATAGGAACCGAACGACCCGGAGGAAAACCATGCCACTTGCCACAATGAAATGGGGTTTAACGTCCTACTGTTCTGCTCCGACTGGGCGCATGAAGACGGGTATACGCCATACAGTGTGCTATGAGGGAAATGTTGCCCGGGCAGCGGCACTATAGACTACTCTTATATGAAATTCCAACAGCCAAGGGACCTTTTAAACTGCACGCCAATGTATGCACGGGACCTCGGTTGTTCGTCCCATCCGAACGACAAGAAATGTTCGTCCTGCACCACAGACAAGAGGAAACCACGTCGGGAAATCCCAATAAACTTTCTCGGCAAATGCAGGGATCGAACACGCGACCTCCGTGCTAGTGAGCCAGCATCTTACCCACCGTGGCTCCACCCTTGACTCAATGAAAAAATTCATTATTTAAAGCGCACGCATTAGATTGCTTGCACCAGACTTGACTTCCAATAGCTCACCGCGCACTCTTTTAAAATACCTCCAACCCACCAGGCGCCATTAGTATGATATCCAGTGAACTGGGAGAAACATTACCCGATTAGAAAATGAAATGAAATGGGGTTTAACGCCCTACTGTTCTGCTCCTATGCTAGGCTAATGAAGAAGGGTATACGCCATACAGTGTGCTATGAGGGAAATTTTGCCCGGGCAACGGCACTATCGCCTACTCTTATATCGAATTCCAACGGCCAAGGGATCTGTTACGTGCATTCCAATGTATACACGGGACCTTGTCAGGACCACCGTCCTGCATCATTGACAAGGTGGAACCACGCCGGAAAATCTGGATGAACTTTCTCGGCCAAAGCAGGGATCGAACACCCGACCTCCAGGAAAGCGACTACCCGATTAGAGCAGAGAAAGAGATAAATGGGGTTTAACGTCCACTCGACACAAACTAGGTCATTTCGGGATTAACATATGGTTCAATTTTATTTCCATAATTGATCGCTTGCGCGTAGGGGTCTTTAGCAGTGGGAGGAAACCGGAAAAAACCCACAAGGTTGGACAGGCGACCCTCCTCCGATTACAGCCATTCATCTCCTGAGATAAGTCATGCTCAGATGGTGTACACATTGGCATTCAATATAAAAGTAGGTCGTAGAGCAGCTGTCGGGGCAAAATGTCCCTCGTACCAGTGTATGGCGAATGCCTCCGTCTTCATCACTTGATAACACCAGAATTACCTGAAATGGCGTAGATTTACAGACATTCTTTTTTACGTGGGAAGCGGGAAATATATTTGGACTGGGAGAGTACTTGGCGCTTTTTGTGTCATTCTAAAGAGACGCAGCTGACATACTTCGTTTCGATCCAACAAATATACAAGAGCATCGCCACCACTGCAAAAAACGTCCACATTCCTGCTTTGATTGATATGGTATTTTTTTAAAATAAAGAGCATGAAATATGAAATGGCTGCAATGACTATTATATGACAAGATGCAAAGGATAGGCGTTAGGTTTGTTTTGTCCAATGTACAGACAGTGGGTGTGACACCGCCTCTGGGGGTGGGGCATGCACCAAAATCAATAGTTGCAATTCTTACGGTTGAAGGAATAATTGTGCATCCATTCAGAATTCCAGCCTGTAGAGAGAAAAAAAACCCGGAAAATATGAGCGTGGCTCTGTTCCTGGGGGTTGGACATGGACCAATATCAAAAGGTACAACCCCATGATGGATTATACTGAATTGGATCCAAATCTGTTAATAATTGCAACTTGTAGATTATTTACAGACACAATATTAACAATTGGTGGGTGTGGCACCGCCCAAAGGGGGCGGGTCATGTACCAAATTCAATATTTGTCGTCCTTGGGGAATAAGTATACCAAGTTCCAAGATACTCCATTGAGAGTTGTGGCCTTCATACGCTAAACACAACAGAATTGGGCGTGGCTCTGTGTTGATAGATAAATAAGCTTCATCTTGGTGAGATAATTATGTCTCTAGCGCTTTTCGTTTCTCAGATATGGAGTGGGGCTGAAAATGGAAGCAAAATGGCCGATTTTGCGGAAAGGGGGGGGGGGTCTGAAAGTTGGCGTTACTAAACGGGCAGTAACTCCGTCAATTCCGCTACGATTTTAAAAATATTGGTGTTGTTACAATGCTGAGACGTGCAGCTTTGGGAAATAACAAGGTTATCGACAACAAATGAATATTTAAAAATAGCTGCTTGTAGCTAGTTCAAGTTTACGTAATTATTTAATCTTCTGTACGGTTATTGCAAACATTAGAAAATAAACTTCTCGAGCTATGTGTAATGTGAAATAATTTTATCTCGAGGACCTTTGGTTTCTGAGATATAAAGTGGGGTTGAAAATTGAAGCAAAATGGCCAATTTCGCGAACAAGTAGTCTGCCAGTTCGTGTTACTAAATAGGCATTAACTCGGTCATTTCTGCTCCGATTTACACAAACTTGGTGTTTAACAATACTGAGATGTACAGCTTTTGGAAAATAACAAGCTTCTGAAGAAGAAAATAATATTTAAAAATAGCTGCCGGTCACTACCCATAGCACACTGTATGGCGTATGCCCGTCTTCATTATCCCAGTTTAGGAGCCGACCAGTAGGACGTTAAACTCCATTTCATTTCATAATACATATCGATAACAAAAAAAATTCTGGATGTATTTAAGTTAATATATAAGGGAGATAACTCTCAACCCCGATCCCGTGAAGCTAGTTACACGCCCACTCGTCATGTTGTGACTAGCTATTATTTCAATAGGGGTCGTTAGCAATAGTAGGGTCCGGAAGAGTCACCGGGCAAGTCAGGCGGCATGTTGAATAGAAACTATCCCACGTGACTCAATGACAGACTGTGTTCTAACGAGCACGTGTTCAATAAAATAACTCCCTTCCACCCTAACATCTACTGATATATATCTACTCATTGACAGACTCATTGACGAGCACGTGTTTAATAAAATAACTCCCCTCCACCCTAACGTCTACTGATATATCTTTAATTACTATAACAACCAAAATCATTTAATTCTTGCTTGATAGTTCCTCACATCAAAATAAAATTTATGTTATATCACGGAAACTCAATTTAATTTTACCCAGAAACAATCAAATCTATCAACATCTGAAAACTGTTTACTATTTACCTACCAGCTGATGACTAATATTCGGACACTTGTTGGTGAATATTCATACGGGGCGGGGCGGAAGGACAACAGCTTCGGTGGATGCAGCACTTCAAATCTATTTCAATCAAAACTTCCATGGTCGACCTCATACAATAAAATGGGAGTAAGGCAGTGAGATATAAGATACATTTTGCCTGTTTGAATTCCACTTGTCAAGGGTTTTCTTACGCGCACGCCCATGTGTACACGGGACCACTGGAGGTTTTGATTTTCAATTATTTCCGATAATTACTTCCAGAGTTATGACCCTTGATATTAAATGTTTTATTTACTAAATGTTAGTATAGAGCAGAACTAGAAGCAAAACAAATCTGACAAATTACTTAATGGGTTGTTACTCGTAATTACTGACAAAAGAAAAATATACGACATCCCTTGCTACTGCCCGGATGACTTAACTGCTGTGGGTTTATGTTTCGTTGCCTGGAAACCTATCTTCAAAATCCAGGCCAATGTAATATTTATTTGGTGGGAACGGGATATGCTGGCCCAGTTCGCTAGGTTTTTCCGGCGTGGTTTCCCCTTGTCAGTGCAGGACAGAGGGCCTGACAAGGACAGCTGTCTAGTCGTTCGGATGGGACTAAAAACCGAGGTAACGTGTACAAATTGTCGTGCACGTAAAAGATCCCTTGGCAGTTGGAATTCGATATAGGAGTAGGCCGTAGTGTCGCTGCCCGGGCAAAATTTCCCTCATAGCACACTGTATGGCGTATGCCCGTCTTCATTAGCCCAATTTAGGAGCAGAACAGTAGGACGTTAAACCCCATTTCATTTCATTTCATTTCGCTAGGTTTTGTGTATTTGTTCTTTATATTATTGGGCTCTTTATACTATTGGGCGAGTTTTCTAGAAGCTCCTTGGAATTTACCGGCATGCACGCAAGAGTAGTCCATAGCGCCACTGTCGGGGCCAAATTTCTGTCATAGCACACTGCATGGCATATTCTCGTCTTCATTTATAGGATGGTGAGTGCAGAAAAGTATGATGTTAAACCACATTTCATTTCATGTTATATTGTACATTTGTAAAGTTACCATTTGGTGAAAGGTGGGCATCATATAATAATAATTCAAACAAAGTACTTTGAAAGTGTTTTTCTTATTTTTAATAGTTATCGAATACTTAAAGCTGAACTCCGATTACAAAACTACAGAAATAATTAAATAAACAAATTAACGCCTTAAATAATCACCATACTTGTTTTCAAGTTGTAGAACAATCATAGCGATTATTAAGGGCGTTTGTTTTTTTATTTGATTATTTCTGTAGTTTCGTAATCGGAGTTCAGCTTTAAATCCTTGACTTGGTGGAAAAGTTTCATGAATATTATTTACAACACAGGATTTTTCTGTTTATTTTACCAAGGATATGCCATAATCATCTTGTAAACCGTCTGTAGGCAAGGATATGCCATAATCATCTTGTAAACCGTCTGTAGGCTATGTATCTATAGACCCTAAAATAAACAAATCAAACTGTCACGAAGTTACATCACTCTATCAGATAGAATCAAGATAAGCTTGTCCCAAAGCATTGACCAATGAAATTGGTTAGCTCTGCTTAGCCTGAAATGTTAATCATTGAACTCGGTCAAGACATTCATCTAAATCAAGTTTAAAGATACATTCCTGCGTACAAACGGGTTGATTTGATGATATATTTGGACTAAAAACATATTCAA